ATTTTTCAGGATTCTTTGATGAATAGAAAGTTCAAAAGAACAGCATTTATTTGAAATAGAAATCTTTTGAAACATTTAAATATCTTTAGTGTAATTTTTTTTAGCAATTTAACGCATCCTTGCTGAATAAAAGTATTAATTTCTTAATCTTACTGACCTCTTTTTAATTAATGAAAAAAAGAACTAAAATGTAAAAAAATGAATTATCAAAATATAAATGAATAAATTGAGAGAAAAACACAATTATAATTAAAAAAAAAGACCTCAAATGGTAGTCAATGGTAGTGTATCTGAAACTATATATCATAAACAAAAATATCAATGTGTATAATAAAGCAATAAGCCCCAAGAAGCCGTGGTTTACAGTGAATTTATAACAGCTAAGGGGCGTTGTTAGGCACGACGCGAAGCGGGGCTTATTGCTTTTATAAAACGGTTATTCCATATACATAGTAAGGTTTCACAAAATAAAATACACGCAAATAAAGTGTAATGATATTAATAAAAACAGTATTCTTCCACCAAACAATGTAGCTCCTCAGAAACAGTTGTGGTTGCTACAAAGTGGTTGCTGAGCAACACACAGAAGTAAACAAAGGTGTGTGTTTGTAGAGTAATTTACAATAGCTTTGAACGTGGCTCAGCCAATCAGAATCAAGGACCGGAACTCTCCGTTTTATAAATACGCATCTTCCCACAGGAATTAAAATCATTAATGCATGAGATGAAGATAAAGGGCAATTAGAGATTAAACAATAAACAGTTTTAGGCCAGGCAAATTAATTTTTTTACTTACAATTTTTTTTATTGAATGATCTTTTTATTAAAAAAAAAAAAAAAACCCGAGGGATGAACTGAATTTGTCTGAATTTTCTGTTTAATGAACTGAAGTGTTTCCCCAGGACCCTGACCTGGTGGGATCTGAACTCTGTGCTGTCCAGGCGTCTCAGTGCGTACTCCATATCCTCACGTCTGAGGAACTCGACCACACCCTCGCCGTCACGCTGCACGTCAGCGAAACACACGTCTCCAGCCTCCCGCATGTGGTCCTTCAGATCCTGCCAGCTGCCGGAGGGAGGAAGACCTGCACACGGGCCAGAGGCGTTTATTATGGTAGTCTTGATGTTTTGTACAAGAAAGTGCTGCAAACATCTGTGTAAGATGTAGATGCATGCAAACAAATGATCCTACTTTTGCACTAGAAGTCAAGCATTCACATCCGTTACAATAAATGATTATCAGTAAGTAAAAAATGTTGACTATATAAAGGGACAGTTCACTCAAAATTGAATATTCTGTCATCATTTACTCACTAAACCCATGATTTATCTTCAAAACACACATTAAGATATTTATAAAGAATCTGAGAGGTTTATGTCTCCACAAAAGGTAAAACAAATCCATATGAACCGAGCGTTTAATCCAAGGCTTTTGATGAGATACGATCAGAGATTTTAGTGTGCCTAAAAAAATCTGTTCATCATATAAAGTAATCAAATCACTTCACAAGACAAGGATCAAACTGCTTGATTCATATGAATTTGTTTTACCTTTCTGGATCTTTTAAGACTTGTTTAATGGAGAGATAGAAAACCCCAGGTTTCATTAAACTTCATGTTTTGAAGATGAATTATGGGTTTGGTGAGTAAATGACGACAACATTAATTTTGGGGTGAACTGTCTCTTTAAATACTCTTTAGGTAAATTATTGAGTTATTTTAGTATCATTGATATACTACTACAATTTTTGTTAATAATTTGAATTAAATTTTACTTTTATATTTTCCGTTTTCATTTTAATTTTAGTTAACGTTTTAGTAATTTTTTGTTTGTTTTTACCATTTTTTATTTGTATTAACTATTTATGATGATTTTTTTTTTTTGGACAAAAGGAAATGATTCCGCTTCTCCAGTAAATATTGACCTTTAGTCTTTCCTATTTATTTAACACAGAACCGTCTAAACCTAAAATAATAGTTCACTGTTTTTCTGTTTGTTGTTTTATATCTTCTTACCAACATTTTTATTCATATCATTATTTTAGTTTTGTCCTTGGGACTTTTAAAGTCAAGCGAGATCACGGAATAAACAAGTCACTGCGTCCCACTTCGCCTACTTACACTATGCCCTAAAAGTATGTATTCTTTTTGTGAAGAAAAAGTACATACTTTTGAGTATGTAGCAGAATAGTAGGCAAGCTTTGGGACATACTGCTTCATCATAACTGCGGACGCTCTGTTGCTTAGTTACGTGCATCCTGTCACAGTTCAAACTGCCCTGTCAATCATCTTGTCAAAGTTAACATTATCCATATTTCCTTAAATTTAATTTCCTACCGTACTGGAGAGAAATTAAGAGGGACGTTGATCTTTCATGGCGAGAACTCTGCTCATTATGTTTGCATAATGATGCATTTAAAAGGTAATTACCAAACATATCATTATAAAGTTCACAGTGTTGCTGCAGATTAAATATAACGTGGATAACATTAAATAAATATTTTTTTAACAAGTTAGATATTATTGATCACTCAAACCCCTTTCTATACTTGTCCATTGGTCTCGCATGTTTGTAGTTTAACACTTTTCATGCGTGTTTGTAGTTCTAATCGAATCCTCGTCCACCGCGCAATGTGTTGTGGGCAATATTAGCCGTTAGAGTGTGCACGGGATCTGCACTTCAAATTTCTACCGGAAGCAGTAAACCATCCGGGTACCTTTGGAATACTAATTTCAACTATATACACGCATATGAACATTACAAGTATGTAAATCATCCCTCGGAGGTGCACGGAATGAGAAAACACGTTTGGCTGCGTCTCAAAATCTAGTGAGCGGCCTATCTGGACAGCAGCAGTTTAGAGTCTATGCAGTCTGCTGTCAATCACTGATGCTCTCAGTGTTTATTCACAGAAAGCCATCAAGGAGAAGGACATCCCTATAGAAGGTGTGGAGTTCATGGGCCCAAACAGAGATAAAGCGGACAGCTGATGACTTGGTTTTATTTTATATGGACTGGGACAGATGTGTTGCCATCATCAGGACGCTCGGACTGCATCGATGACCCTTTGATGGACACTTACTGTTGAGACTAAAACTGTACATTCAGTGCTTTGCCTGTTAATGAATCGTTAATAGAGAGGAATGTTTGAGCTGTCAGCTTTCTAAACATGCATTGTGCATGTGTGCATTGAAAAGAAACTAGTTGTGTTTGGGTTGCCAGGTGCAGCTGTTTTCTGTGGAAGCTTGTTTCTGCCATGAAATAAACAAATTAAAAAAGTAATTGCAACTTTGTTTCATGACTTTTTTCCCCCTCACAATTGCAAGTTTCTCTCACCATTCAGACATTTTTCCTTTGAAATCCGAGTTTATATTTTGCAATTATTTTTGTTTGTTTTTTTGTTTGCACTAAAAAAATTCTCACAATTCTGACTTTTTTTTCCATCAGTATTCTGAGTTGATCTCGCAATTCTGTGTTTTTTTTTTTTGTTTTGTTTTTTGTTCACAGAATTTAAAAAAAGTTAATGGTTACTTTCTTTTCAGACTTTTTTTCTTGTAATAGATTTTCTCGTATTTGGACGTTTTTTCTTATAATTGTGAAAAAAAAAAAGGTAATTGTAACTGCAATTCTTTTTCTCTGACAATTCTGTCTTTCTTTCTGAATTCTGAGTCTACATTTTGCATTTGTTTGTTTTTTCACAAAAATAAAAGGTAATTGTAACTTCTTAGAATTTTGACTTTTCTCTCAATTTCAAGTGTATATCTCACAATTCATTTTTCTCAAGAGTTATAAACTTCTTGCATCTTGCAATTCTGAGTTTACAATCTTGCAATCTTGTATTTTTTCTTGGAATTCTGAATTTGCATCTCACAATTAAGACTTTTTTTTTCACACAATTACCATTTTATCTCACAGTTCTGACCCTTTGCTCTGAATTGGTAACAAAAAAAAAAAAAAGATCTGACTTGTGAGATAAAAAGTCGCAATTACCTTTTTTAAATCTGTGTCAGAATCAAGCTTCCATAGTTTTCAGCATTCCTCAGAATAGGTTTGTTAATGTAGAACAATGTCGGAGTGGGTGATTTATTTTTACTTTCATTATTTTTCATTGCAAGCCAACAATAAGAACAACTGCTTTGCTGCTTCCACAAAGTGTCACTCGATGTTTAAAGAAATGTTATTTCTTTAACATTTATATCGTAAAACAGTTGTCAAATCTTACCTCGCTCCTTTTAACCGTTAAAACTGAAGCGTAGCGCTGAAATTCATGTTCGACTCCTGTGAGCAGTAAAGTCACGCCTTCTTTGATTTGATTGGCCAGCTCAGTCATTGGCGAGCGCTGATTGGCCTAACGAATCACGAACGTCTAATCACAACAAACTCCAACATTACTGGAACCTAATTACATCTGGAGCGTCAAATCAGAATAAATCAGTCTATTACACTAATGGAACAATTAAACTAATGGACTAATTAAAAGTCTGATTGTGCCAATTAGCCTGAAATGGGCTTCTCATACATTTAGACCAATGCATTTCCATGCTTTTAATCAGCTGTGATTATGTTTTCCATTTGTTACCAATTCTTGAATTCAAAAGATTTAAACAATTACACTTCATGTGGACAAATGGCTCAGATAAGACAAAGAATATCTTATGAATTAAATATGCAACTGCTCAAACATCTCACTAAGGAAATATTGAGAGCCCAGCATAATAAAAAAATATTAACTGCTATAGAAAACTCATTAACACATTACAATGTTACATTTATTAACTACATTAACGTGAACTAACAAGCAATATTTCTAAAGTATTTAATAATCTTAATGTTTCAACATTTGTTAATCAAATATCTGTTAACGTCAGTTGATGCATCATGAACCAACATTCAATAATGCATTTTTTAAATGAATGCACAAACTAAAATGCACAATTTTATTACTGATAATCCAGTTATTTCATTTTTTAAACCGTATTTCCAGGTTTTCTGTTATTATTTCCATTATTCCTGCAAAACACTATAGTTTGTAAAAATGACTCGATATGGAGTAACTTTGATTCAATGCTTTAATTGAAAAAAAAAATGCATACAATCATCACATGATACAAAAAGAGGGAAAAAAATAAAGAAAAATCACATGGGGAGATTCCAGAAGAAAACATTTTTTTTTTAAAACTTCAGCCTTTTATTCAAATCATAAAAAAACAGAATAAAACAGTCGATGTCTAAGAAATGGACCAGATTAATCACAAATGCATCTTTAGTCTGTTGCCTTTAGTTGGGACAAAACAGATAATTCATCTTCAGATCTTTCACAATCATAACCACATCTGTAAACATATGCAGCATCATCCACGTGATCATTAACATATTCGCAAGCTCTCCATGAACTGAACGGTGAATAAGGCCATTTGGGTTCCTACAATGGACTATAAATTACAAAATAGAGAAAGAAAAGGGGTGTGGCGGTGGAGAAGGCCGCTCATCGATAGTGGCGCGGGGGCGGGCTGTGATGCTGGAGCGGCGCTCGGCGGGAGGGTGGGCTATGGCGGGTCATGTGACGTGGGGGCGATCGGTAACGGGGCGGCGGTGACCCTCTGCTCTGGAGCAGGGGTGAGTATCGTCCTCGAGACCTGGAGCGGGAGCGCGAGCGACCCCAGCTTGTGCCCCGCTCCTCCATCACTCTGATGTAGGACGTCTCTCCCTGAGCCACAAACAAACAATATTCAGAAACACAGACAGCAACAAACCACTGATTCCGGAGACGCCGGACAAGAAATTTTACTTTTAGATTTTCCGTTTTCGTTTTAATTTTAGTTAACGTTTTAGTAGTTTTTAAAATTGTTTTAAAATATGTCTATACAGTTTTTATTCACTTTTATTTCAGTTTTAGTTATTCTACTACAAGATAAACTAAATGAAAATGAGAACTGTTGCCTTGGCAACTTGATAATAATTTGAATTAAATTTTACTTTTAGATTTTCCGTTTTGATTTTAATTTTACTTAACATTTTAGTAATTTTTTGCGTTTTGACTATTTCTGTTGTTTTTAAATATGTCTATATAGTTTTTATTCATTTTATTTCCGTTTTAGTTATTTTACTAAAAGATAAACTAAATGAAAATGAGAATTGTTGCCTTGGCAACTTGTTAATATTTTGAATAAAATTTTACTTTTAGATTTTCCGTTTTCGTTTTAATTTTAGTTAACGTTTTAGTAGTTTTTAAAATTGTTTTAAAATATGTCTATACAGTTTTTATTCACTTTTATTTCAGTTTTAGTTATTCTACTACAAGATAAACTAAACGAAAATGAGAATTGTTGCCTTGGCAACTTGTTAATATTTTGAATAAAATTTTACTTTTATATTTTCCGTTTTCATTTCAATTTTAGTTAACGTTTTAGTAGTTTTTAAAATTGTTTTAAAATATGTCTATACAGTTTTTATTCACTTTTATTTCAGTTTTAGTTATTCTACTGCAAGATAAACTAAATGAAAACGAGAATTGTTGCCTTGGCAACTTAATAATTTGAATTAAATTTTACTTTTATATTTTCCGTTTTCATTTTCATTTTAGTTAACGTTTTAGTAATTTTTTGTGTTTTTACCATTTCTGTTGTTTTTAAATGTGTCTATACAGTTTTTATTAATTTTATTTCCGTTTTAGTTATTCTACTACAAGATAAACTAAATGAAAATGAGAAATGTTGCCTTGGCAACTTGATAATAATTTGATTTAAATTTTACTTTTATATTTTCCGTTTTCATTTTAACTTTAGTTAACGTTTTAGTAGTTTTTAAAATTGTTTTAAAATATGTCTATACAGTTTTTATTCACTTTTATTTCAGTTTGAGTTATTCTACTACAAGATAAACTAAATGAAAACGAGAATTGTTGCCTTGGCAACTTGTTAATATTTTGAATTAAATTTTACTTTTATATTTTCCGTTTTCATTTTAATTTTAGTTAACGTTTTAGTAATTTTTTGTGTGTTTTTACCATTTCTGTTGTTTTTAAATATGTCTATACAGTTTTTATTCACTTTTATTTCAGTTTGAGTTATTCTACTACAAGATAAACTAAATGAAAATGACAATCGTTGCCTTGGCAACCAGCTTAAATAAAATAGTTTTTGTTTTTTTTGGAATTTTATCTTTTTTTATTTTAACAATGAAATGTTTAATAGTTTTAGTAAACTACAGTAACCCTGCTATACAATTGAAGTAGTGTTATCAGGACTATTTTAAACGGTATTATTCTTGCATGAAGCCTCAATCCTCTTAACTCACCCGTCACAATAACGCGAAACTCAGATCTGCGCGACGGGGGCCCAAACCTTCCCCGCGGTCCTCCTCCTCCCGCAGGTCCACTAAATTTGGATCCGGAAGATCGTGGATATTCCACACGCAGCTTACAGTCTCCAAATCCATATCCATTCCTTCCAAAGACGGCGTCCTCGAGTATCGTCCTCGAGACCTGGAGCGGGAGCGCGAGCGACCCCAGCTTGTGCCCCGCTCCTCCATCACTCTGATGTAGGACGTCTCTCCCTGAGCCACAAACAAACAATATTCAGAAACACAGACAGCAACAAACCACTGATTCCGGAGACGCCGGACAAGATTAAAAAAAAAAAAGTTTTGTCACACACACATATATATTTGTACAGGATATACAGTCAAACCCAAAATTATTCAGACACCAGATATTTTTTTACTAGTGGGTGCAGGACACTATAGTTCATTAAATGTTTAATAGTTTTAGTAAACTACAGTAACCCTGCTATACAATTGAAGTAGTGTTATCAGGACTATTTTAAACGGTATTATTCTTGCATGAAGCCTCAATCCTCTTAACTCACCCGTCACAATAACGCGAAACTCAGATCTGCGCGACGGGGGCCCAAACCTTCCCCGCGGTCCTCCTCCTCCCGCAGGTCCACTAAATTTGGATCCGGAAGATCGTGGATATTCCACACGCAGCTTACAGTCTCCAAATCCATATCCATTCCTTCCAAAGACGGCGTCCTCCGCATCCCTAGAGGAAGAGAGGAAAGTGCTCCTAATTTTCGTTCTACACGTGAAAAAGCCTCGTCCGCGTGTTCTCGGGAGGCCGTGCGACTCACCGTGGGTCCTCAAACCGCACGAAGGCAAACGGGATGGTGCCTCTGTTGTTCTTCAGCTCAATATCCCGAATTTTTCCGTATTTGAAGAAGAGATCCTCAATGTCCCTCTCCTGGACGTCCTTGGGAAGGTTTCCCACGTAGATCCGTCCGTCCGACATGGCTTGAACCCCGCTGGACCTGCAGCCTTCGAGGAAAATAGAGCGTTTTCCGCGTCAGGGCGCTCAGAACATCCAAACTCTAGTTTAGTCCTTCTAAAAGTCTCTATTCACAACTCTAAACTCTGGCGGTCGCAGAACATGTCGAGTTCAAGAAACCCAGCACAGGAGCCTCCAGGACCACAGTCTGAAAACTTAGAAACAAGGACAATCAATTAAAATGGACACATATGAGGGACAGACGAGGAACAAGGGCCTGATGCCTCCAATCCACCATGAAACATTTGAATAACGTCTGCAAACCACATTTACATCTGATGCACTAATTCATTAGCTTGTAAATCATAATTAACCTCGTTCTGTAGGGTAAATATCACCTCAGTTTGACATTTGTGACCCTGGAGCAGTCTTAAGTCGCTGGGGTATATTTGTAGCAATAGCCAACAATACATTGTATGGGTCAAAATTATTGATTTTTCTTTTATGCCAAAAATCATTAGGATATTAAGTAAAGATCATGTTCCATGGGACCAAAAATTATTCAGACACTTTGACCTGACCATGTTTTGCTGAAGTGTTTTTTCTTTAATTGCTAATGTGGCGTTTTCACACCACAGACATAGCTTGACCTAAATTGCTATTATCTAATTGTGACCCTGGACCACAAAACCAGTCATAAGGGTCAATTTTAAGATATTTTGTACATTTCCTATCGTAAATATATCAAAACGTAATGTTTGATTAGTAATATGCATTGCTAAGAACTTCATTTGGACAACTTTAAAGATGATTTTCTCAATATTTAGATTTTTTTGCTCCCTCAGATTCCAGATTTTCAAATATCGTGCTATCATAACAAACCATACATCAATGGAAAGCTTATTTATTGTATACATCTATATTTCAAAACTGAACCTTATGACTAGTTTTCTGGTCCAGGGTCACACATGATACATATTAAGTGACCATACTTCTAGCTAAAGCCTAGAAAATTTACTTTTAACATGTTAAATGGCAAGCAACATACATTAGAAATAGACAGGACATAATAAGTAACTGCCAAATCAACCTCTGATATGAGCTTTGTAAAGAGAATCGCTGTGCAAATATGTGTTTAATACCACAATCTGTTCATATTTAATCTACTTTTTTTCTGCACTTTCATAATTCAATAAAAGAAGTCGAATGCAAATCAGAGGACAGCCATGACAAGCTGCTAACAATGCTAGCATATCATCTTACGCATTTAATTCGTTATTTAATTCAAAATATCAACCTAAATCCGTCCATTTCCACTAATACATATAGTATTCAGCTTAAAAAATCTAAAATTGTAATATTTGTGTTTAATAACAATACAACACAATCACGTTAGCATACTAGCTGTTAGCTTCTTTGTTGAGACAACGGCTCAAAGCAAAATGACAAACACCAGCGAATAATGAGGGCGGCCCTTTTTTTGTCATGCACGAATGTGGTTAAAGATTAAATATAACCGAAATTAATAGTTTGATTTACCTCTGTAATTTGCAGCTCGTAATAAAAACCGAGGATAAACAAGCGCACGCGCTTCTCCTCCCCGGATCAGGAAGTGACACACGAACTTCCGCCCCCTTCAGACCGAAACGAGCAACTGCAGCAGACGCCTGAGACCTAGCCTTTATCGGGGTTATTACAGTTTAAACACAATAGATGAATATAGAGATAGTTTTCATTGCTTTAGGATTAACAGAGCTCTGGATAGTTTCCATGTACCTGTCCAGATCATCATGTGAAATATAACTAGCAGGAAACACGTTAAGTTATATTTTCCTATATTCTCTTTTGAGTGTTCAAACAAGCCAAAGAAAACATCTTTAAAACAGAAAGAAAAGTCACTTACAACATTGCCAAAACATGTGAATGACATGAGACAAAAACAGCAACTCGCTTCAATGTCTGACTTACAATTCTGTCCATAAGCTTTTTGTGAAATTTGGAATAACTCATTAATCGGTTGCTTGACCTCCAAAGTCAGACGTTACTACAATGTATTGTTGGCTATTGCTACAAATATACCCCAGCGACTTAAGACTGCTTTTGTGCTGCAGGGTCACAACTGTGTACTTAAATTACTTAAATTAACAGCTGAATAATTTTTGGTTGATTGTAATCCATTACATACCTTTCTATCAAAGTTATCTAACATTATCAAGATTAATTTGTTCTGACACAGTTTAACTCATATTTTATTACCATTTTCTAAACTATAGCGAATAAACCGTGATAATGCGAGAAATGTTGAAGGGGTCTGAATAAATTTTGGTTTGACTGTAACTTTCAGTGAACTGTAACCTGGTCAGCTATTTAGATGTGCATTAAATATAAATAAATAGTTAAAAAGAAGTAAATATTATGATCACTACAATGCACTTAACATTTGATTTTCTGTATATCTGTTTACAAATTATGTGTTATATATTATATCACTAGCCCTGAAACCACCTGACCTCAGAAGTCTATGCTAAATTAATAAGATTATATCCAAAAATCTTTAAACTATAGACTAACATATACACTACAGTTTAAACGTTTGGGATCATTATGATTTTTTTGTTTCAAAAGAAGTCTCTTCTGCTCACCAAGGCTGCATTTTTTCCTATATTCTCTTTTGAGTGTTCAAACAAGCCAAAGAAAACATCTTTAAAACAGAAAGAAAAGTCACTTACAACATTGCCAAAACATGTGAATGACATGAGACAAAAACAGCAACTCGCTTCAATGTCTGACTTACAATTCTGTCCATAAGCTTTTTGTGAAATTTGGAATAACTCATTAATCGGTTGCTTGACCTCCAAAGTCAGACGTTACTT